AACAAACATTTCAGAAAGAATGTTTGTTCGTATTATAAGTTTAAACAATTAAAGAAAATGTAAAAATTAAATGGGTTGATTAATAAAAAAAAATATATATAGTGGTTAAACCCGGCACTGTCTTTTAGGCACCCCCTTTTAATAGCGATTGGTGCGGTGATTTACCACTACCCTTGATATGGGACCCCCGATGCAATTTTACCAATATTAATGATTGCATGTCTATGGTAAACATCTGCTTGATGCTATAACAAGCGTTCATGTAAAATAATATTGACCATATCAACAGATAGTTATCAAGAGACCTAGATTACAATTTTGTAAATTTATTTATAAGCGTGTAGGGCAACCACCGGAAGGCAAGACTAAACCTACAACTTAATGGGTAAAGTAACCTAGTATATTGTATTATTATTATTATTATTATATTTGCATTTTTATAGTGGTGTACTGTACTTGTTATGTTAGCAATCATCATGATGATATAGAAGCTTGGATATAGCAGTGTGAGTATATACATGGAATAAAAAACAGTTGGAAATACTAAATGAGTAGTTATTCCAACTCTAAATTTTATGGTGTCCTATTTATATTTTTTCCGCGTATACCAGCTAAAACAACGTTAAAACTATATTTTTAAGTGTATACCAGCTAAAACAACGTTAAAACTATATTTTTAAGTGTTTTAGAAAATATGTTCGGTTGTTAATAAATAACGTTTTCGATTAGATTATAAGTCTATAGAATGAACCTAATAAAATAAAACCATACTAAACATTACACAAATAAACACATTAAATATTATAATGTATGTGTAATATTGAATTTACGAGCCCGTGTAATGGAGAATCGTGTTAAACATACAATATTATAGCATAACTTATAACTACGATTGCGTCTTGCGACACGCATACATAATATATTTGTCCAATAAAATATGAAAATATATTTACACGAAACAAAATATTATTATATTTTATAAATAACCATATAAAATCGACTAAGTATACACGCGAGTAATCGAACTCACTAAACATGTATGCTATTGTTATGATCATCGATAATTAAGAATTAAAATAAATTATAATTGGATATAACAATAAAAAATACTTTTAAAACCGACGTAACTGTATTGGCTTAAGTTATCTGATAATACTTGACGTTTCAGGTACATTTATTTAAATGTTACTAATTTAATAGCTGTAAAAAAATGTATTGTAATTTTTTTTCGTTAATCTACTTGTTCATTTTCTCATTTTCAAATATTCTGATTTTTTACTAGTCTATTTTAATTTAAAGCCCAAAGTGTATATATATATAATTTATAAATCCGTATTTGGTTTTACGTACAACGATCAAATATACGGGGGATAGTTTACTATTTTGGTAATATACTTTAAATGGTTGAAAAAAGAGCGTCTGGTAAGGAAATCAATAATTATTCTACAACCCGTTTACCAGTAATACAACGCCAGTGTCTGACGCCGCAGAACCGAAATTGGTCACGGACGATACCGGCATGTTTATATTGTTTTCTTATTGGTAATTTCGAAGGAAAAAAATATACTAATAATGAAAAAAAAAAAACGTGTTTTTGATGTGAAATATATTATGCGACAATGATAATAATAATATAATGTGTACAAATGTCGGTGTGGGGCGAATGCGGTATGTGAAACGTTTTGCCCCTTTCACGCAACAGTCACGGTACGTTGGTCCGGATGACAGGTCGCCTCTTCCTTCCTCCCCACGTCCACCAATAGCCGCCGGTAACGCCACCGGGGCAAACAAATTATCCTTGTTTTCACACCGGTCCTCTCTCCGACTGCTACTACTGTTTTTTTTGTCTGTCTGTTTCGTACCCTCCTCGTATCCCTTTTCCCTATTTTTTATTTTTACGTTCTATCCCACCATTTAAACAATATGGCCGTCATTGTCTTGGTGGAACACTGCAAGGACGACGCCCATCACATGCTCTCTAGAGTCTATGTACCGGAACCACGCATACACGAATACTTAACAACGGTGCGGCGTTGTCAAAATGCATATAATACAATAAAATAGTGTATGTACACAACGACCAATAAAATCCAATTTGAAATAGGCTGCCTTCGCGGTTCACAATTTTTCTTCACATGGTAAAAAAGTTGATTTTGTCGGCAAATTCATTATATTTTTATGATAATAGTTGATAAAAACGATAAATCGACCAATCGGTGAACAGATGACGTTAAGAAGGCACTATCAGTCTAAAATCTGATTAAACAAAATCATCAAAATTGGTTTAAGCTGCTGATGTATCTATTCTTAATGATTTGTTATGTAATATTAATATATTTATTTATGATAAACAGTAAATTAAAATTTATAACCGAATCAAATGGCATGTACGCTGTACCTATAATTGAATACAATAATAATGTAAATGTAAATTTAAAATTAAATAGTCAAACATGTTTATCATCTTAAGATTCTGCCGTAGAACAAAAATACACAAACCCCTAACAATACTGACTTTTAATTATAGATGAGTTATTTTATTATTATTAAAATTGTGTAAGAGCATTAAAGTGTTTGTAATGTTAATAAAATATTTAATTATTTATATTTTGTAAACAATATTAAATGTAAGAAATTAAATCTTTAGATAACATAAAATATTAAAAATTTTCTGCAAACTGAGAGCATAAACGACACAATAAAATACGAGAGTGCGCCTTCTCTTGCGCCTTTTCTATTAACATTATTGTTAAAATATAGTACATTTTTTATAAAAAAAGTATTTTTTCCAATTGCTTTTCCTCGCTTAGTCATTACATGCGCACTGATTGTCAGACACTATATTCGATTAATATGGTGATTAAATGAGGTAGTTTAAAAAAATAAATACATTTCGTGCTAAACTAAAAAATGACTGTTAAATTATTGTTTTAGAGGGTATATCATATCATTGGCATCGATCTCGAAAATACTGAAATAATACGGGATGTTTTACTTATCATGTTTACCTGGAAATAAGATTGTGTCGAATTCTATAATATGTATAATACATTTAAATATGTATGTCATAGATGTCAGATCAACTATTCGGTCATGTCCCGACTGTCCGCTGAAAAATATTCCGTTATACCGATTTATTTTATTATATTTTACTGCGACCTCTTGAAACGTGCTAAACTGTTCCCCCAAAAACTGCAAATAGCAAATATGCCCACATATAATATATGCAGTATGACATTATTATATTACACTACAATGATGATAATAATAACAATGTAATACGTTAGACGATTATGCGAAAAACCCCAATATATGACGGTGGGCCGTGCTGTACAAGTCATCTCTAGAGACCGTCTCTATAATATTATGTGCATTGCATATTGGGCGTACGCGAGCAAGGATTTTCTATTAAATTAAACCGTACCCTGCTCGTCGAGAGGGGGTGTGTGTGTTTTGCCAAAAACGATTGTGTGTAATAATAATAATAAGTTTTTATTTTTTTGCGACCTCACCGCGTATTACCGTTGCGTCGTCATTGTGTGTTTGTGTGTATATTATATACATATAAGATGCGTGTACACGTCGGGTTGTACATTATATAGGTACCACGAGGGGGTGGTGGGCAGGGGGGCGTGCTTATTGTTATTATTATATGTGTCGGCGACGGTGTATTAAAAACCCATATAAACGCGCGCGCGGCCGTGACATCAGCTGCTCTGGACGATCGTCGAGTGGCTTTTTGACTTTTTCCAAATACCGAAGTGACAAAAAAAAATAAAAAGTGATATTACCGAGAACCCTCAAGGTATATAATAATAATAATATAAAAAAAAAGACACGGCCGTTACAAATAGCATGTGACAATGGCAGAGAAGCCGCTGCACCCGCCAGAGTTTGCCTTTTATTTGCTTGTATATGTGTATTTTGGCATACGCCCGGTCTATTGAGAGCAGCAGATGGCATTATTGACTGACGCCGCGGTCCGTGGAGGCGGTGGCGTTTACTTGTTATTATTATATTATACGTTCTATATTATCGGTAAGTACTGCCGGTGGTTTTGTCGTGTATATAAATATACGTTCGAATAATAATAATAATAATAATATGAGTTTGAAAGGAAAGAAAGTCAAAGACCCGGAATAATTATTGTTATAACCGCGACCAGTTTATGTATACCGGACGGTAAGACCGAGCCGGCGATGACAACAAAATGAGTTATTACACTAAAGATGCTTGAGTGTTATAATGGCCACCAACACCGTTAGGTGTAATATGTTTAATGTTCCGTTAATATTAAAGTCTACGGTTTGTAAGGATTAGAATAATGTAGGTAACCAACAAATTATTGCTACGCTATGGTAATATTAACATATTATTATATCAATTGTATAATTAAAATCATATATTTTGTTAATTATATTTTAAATTAAAACTCGACGAGTATTATAAATTCGGTGTTTATTTCTTTAATAAGTTCAGTAAAATTGTCCACTACTTACTTAATTATAGCGAAATCACCTACCCCATTTTATTAAGTTGACGGTTGCGCAGTAGTCAATAAAAATGTTGAACAAGAGTATTATAATAATAATTGTATAATAAGTAAAAGAATATAATATTTTGAATAATTTATAAAATATTTTTCAGAGACTTTAACGACCATGCGGGCGTTCTATTTAATGCGTTCAATATTTATGTTTGTAAAAATAATGAAAATATATAGTATTTTTCAATAAGCTACTTAGTTGCTCGCTTTTGCTAGTTCCAGAAGATAACAACTAAAAGGTACAGTTAAAACATACACAAACGCAAGTCCATGTAGACCTAAAGCGTAGAGAGTAGTGACAGTTCTGCAATTTATTCATATTGATAAAAACCTATGGGAAGGAAGCAATAACAATAATATATTGTTTGTGCGTAACGGTAATATTTAAATATTTTTTTTTACCGGTGCAAAAAATTCATGTTAGAATATTATTATATACCTATCAGGAACGTACCTTAACGAATTGCAGTTCGTACAAGTCTCGAAAGTGTAGACTTTTGTTCTCGCACAAACTGTCTTCGGCCGTCAAATGTCTCGCTTTGTCGACGGTTTTCTCCTGCAAAAAATCATATTCAAAATTAATACCGGTCGAATATTAAGCCGCGAACCCATACAATATGTACAAAATATAGACACCTAGTTTATATGGTTTGTAAATACACGTGGGTATACATATAAATCACTACAAGCGAAGGCATTAATATTTCAGCCAAAAATAGACATTGCGATTGGCTTGAAGTGCACAAATGGGCTGCTCGAACGCGCTAACGAACGATTGACATCTTTACATAGGATTCCACAGTGTATTTTTTCGGCAGCCCTTTCACTAAATTGATCATCACAAGACTTTCCAAAGAACCGATTACCAATGGACAACGCGGTTTTCTTTTTGTCGAACCCATATTGATTTTGGCATGTTTATAATACATTTTTAAAACTTTTAATGATAAGATGTTAAAAATTTGACAATTAAACAAAACCTAAATACATTCAAGGATTGCAAACATTTCCAAGTAAAAATGTATTATAACACATGTTGGTTTAAATGGTAAATATTATGATATTCTGATATCTCAACTGACTTTGAACTTGTAAAAAAAAAAAACGTTAACGTTACTGAAACATTTTAGAGTTTTAGTTTTAGGCGTTGTGTTTTCTAGATCCCAAACGCGATGCACATTGTGCCTATTGGTTATTGTAAATATATTATAATCCGTTTTTTGTTTCGTGTATGTTAGTTGTTAAACTTAAAAATTAAAATCGGACATGCAGACGTACAAATAATGGCTTCTGGCGTTTGTATGTGTCGCGCAGACAGCAGTCATCGAGTACATACAGACCCACGAGCATTCGACGTTGTTAAGGATTTAAATTCAATTAAATTATTATTATACAACACTGCGGCTCGGTAGACGGTAAAATAGGGAGGTATTCCAATGTACTTCTATTTTGCAGACAAACGGGAAATTCAAAAATCGAAAGAAAGAGAAAGATAAATATATATATATATATATATTATAGATTTATACGTATAAAAATAAAATCGTCGGCAAGATGTAAGTGGAGGATGTGGGCAATATTTCGTCGAAGACACGGCTGAGGTATACAAGAGTGGACAACCGGTACCATATATTCCGAGCACAGCATGACTTATTAGCGTATACTTTGAATATTTTTTTAAATATACAATTTTTATTACTCTTAATATTTTTTTTTAATATATATATATATCGTGTACACACACAAACTACTACTTCTTATTTCGTTTCGCCCGATACCTCTTCGCCGCCGGGTTTGAAAAGAAAAAAAGCCGCAATGCAACCGTGCTGTGGTCGGCGTGAGGTGACATCGATAAATAAAATCCACACACACACCGGTTCGCCCAGTAAATAATATTAATAACGTCGCGGACACAGTCCGGGTGAATTGGACCTGGTGAACACAACCTATTATATTATACGTATACAGGGTGTTTAATAGCGATTTATACAACAACTATACTGACTACACATACAAACGACTTCTATTTTCTCGTGTACGCATATTATTATGATTAATAGGACATAAACATAAAAAAAAAAAAAAAAAATAGCTACCGCGTTCTCTTGATGAAAGCAACAATAATAATAATATGTATATTAGACAATTATAGATTTCATATTCTAGACCTCTATAACTTCTGAGGAAACGCTATAAAGCATATACATTTAAATGTCCCCGGATGAGTTTCAGAGAAATGAATAGTTTATGAAAATCATAAATTTAAGCGAATTGCGTGATGGGCGGAACTCGTGGGGGTTATGATATTCAGTAATTGAAACGACCCTTATTTGAGAGACCGCAGGAAAAGGGTGTTTCTCTTATCTGATGAAAAAAAAAATTAAAAACTATATTTTGAGTCCTTCAAAAAAAAAAAATCATCACTTAATGTCGTTAAATCGCTCAAACAGCTGCGCGTAGAGATCAATTCATGATAGGAAATAACAATAATAAAATGGTTATTGGTATTTTTTAAATACTTCATATGGTTTACTCAAAAAACTGAGTTTTACCTAAATTAAGTATAGGGTTACATAAGTAGACGCAACAATCAAATCAATTCAAACTTTTAAATTATTTTCAGAATTGAATGTTAATATTATACTTGTGTATTATGGAGATATAAATCTTTGCTTTAACCATCTATAATTTAAATTGAATCCGTGTCGTGCAACTAAGGAGTCACTAATTAATCGTTTAAAGGGAGTGAACAATACAAGTGTATGTACTTGGCACGTACACGCCGCTTATAAATACAACCCTAATTAAAATTTTTTTGTTAAAGGGATTGTAAATTTTACAGAGCTTACATAATTTAAACAGTGAAATTATGTAATTGTTATGAAAAACATTTTTTTTTTTTTTTAATAGTATATATTTATCGTAATGGCACCGGGATATTGGGAAGATAACGAGAAATGTCATTAGTTTCCTTATTTCCCGGTACTATTAGTGTAATAGTAATTATACTTAAATTTTCATTATTTTTTTTCTGTTTTTTTGTTTGAAGAGATGAGGTCTAATAACAGTAAATATTTGCAGTGTCCGTCCGTCCGTCAGCGATACGGTGTACACACAATAGACATTACCGCCCGACCAACACCTAAAGGTACGAGTAGGTATTGTATGTGCCACGCACGCGACTTAGGTCGAAACTCTTGACGGGGGTGTGCTCGCTATATATACCATATATATGTATATATACAATGAGTAATAGTCGCTGTGGCGGCATGTGTGTAAAACGGGAGTCGTACACACGTAGCCTAATAAAATATGCGGCACATAAAGAAGAGAATAATATAATATTATAAATATCGTTGGTCGGAGAAGGGGAGGGGGTTGCTGCTGTTTTTAAAACGCCTCTGCGACCAACTACACGACGGGCCGACGTGTTAAAGTTATGTGTAATATATAATAATATACGTGTACATACGTATATATCTTGTGTGTAACATGGATGGCTATGTTGGCTGTTTGTAAAACACGATAATAATAAATTCCCTCTCCCCCCTATCGCTATCTCTGTGTACCTTTACTGCAGACAAGGCGGCGGCAACCGCAGAATCTGTGGCTTTGGGTCCATTCATTATTATATTTATATATATATATTGTATTGGTATATGTGTGAGTAAATATATGTGAAAAGACAATATATAATATCAACCACCAGAGAGAATTTTAACATCTGCCCTTCAACAACATACATACACACACACACACAGACACTCCACGGTCCATTGAACAACCGTGGCACCCTGTATATACGTATAAGTGTGCGTTTTATTGTTGGAGAGAGAGGAGACATGGGGACTTATCAACCGGAATAATATACTGTACATATTATTATATTATATGCGACGACGATGGGGCTTAACTTGTGAAACCGAGTCAATGAAACTGTAATAAAAACACACACGCGCCGCCCGCCGTTGGGAGTTTTAGGGAGGAAAGGGGTCACTTCATATTAGTATTATAAATATTATAAAAGCGAAAGCAACAAATCAGTTTTCTGTGTGGATAATGTGCGTTTTACACGGATAATCGCTGGAATATCCTTTTTATTCGTCTAATAAACTCGACGTTTAAAGAGGATTCGTAAGAAATTCAATTCCAACGAGTTACAACATTGTAAATTATTGTTATCTTGTATTACACCCTTAGGTCAGCAGACGTGAGAGACCTTAGACCTACGCCTTCGCTAAAGCGTTCAAAACCGTATTAGACTTCTCATTACCTTGAATTTGATCGATTATATTATATTGTGTACACAGAAATAATATTGTCAAAAAATAGTTGCTTAAAAGCTTTAAATTTTAATTGCTGAAATTAAAATACTCAACCACGCAGAGGTAACTAATTTGAGAGTTAGATCAATTTTACATAAACTAATGAGTGACAGATAAGTGGACTGAAAAAACCACTTAAATTATTAACAGAAATATTATAACATACTTTTTAGAACACACAGATCTACTGACCTCCAAAAAGTACTTAACTAAAAAAAAGAGAAGCAAAAAAGTTTCTTAGTTTTTAACTGATTGTTATTGGGAAGTATACAATTGTAATAAAACAAAAATAAACAAACTAAATTAATATATATCGCTATAAAACATGTCACTGGCTTTATTATTTGTCCAAAGGCACTAACATTTGGGGAGAAATATTATTTTAGTGGTAGAGAAATTTAATTTTCACCTACTTACTTACTTGCATGAGATTCGAAAACAAAATATGAATACAATAGGTAAGTGATTTTTTTTATAAAAATATTATTACAAGTATCAAGTTGTCTATATATAAAACTATACATATATATAACGTAAATATTTATAAGTGTTGCGTATAAAGCATAATCCGTGGTAGTAGTAGTAGTAGTAGTAGTAGTAGTAATACTCTGTAGTAGAATTCTAGTCTTCGGTAAAGATCACACATAAATATAATTGTTTCCGAACGACCTATCTGTGTTTATATTGTATGTTTGTATTTATATATACGTATGGTATACTTATAATATTTACTGTTAACACGCATGTACGGTGTATTATTATATGGAATAAAACCTTTTCATCAGCGGAGGAGGAGGAGAAGGAAGGGCAAAGATGCTATGCCGCAAATGGAAAATTAATGAACACTCGACAGACTAAATAATAATAAATATATTTTATTTATAAGCCGGAAATTTTTGGTTTATGCCCCCGTGGACAACAAAACGTCGACCACACACACCCGCCATAATATTATAGCAAGTGTGCCCTGTATGCATGGTACAATACTGATGCAATGCATAATGACCGGGTCCAGTGAAGCTTGTTCATAAGTCTATAATAATGTAATACAAACGCGATACACCATAATAAAAATAATTATCTCAACAGGCGCCTTTTGGCCGAACCAAGTGCAGACTTAATGGCGCGTAACCTAAGTTAACCGTAGAAAAGTAATTTAAGTAAAACATATTTACCAATAGTGTACATACGAAATAAAACCTTGCCACTTTCCATTACAACGTTCATTAAAAATAATCCGTTAATAGTAATATTGTAAAAGCATAAATTAGCACATATTTTATATTAAACCACACGTATAATAGGTATTATAATATACCTATATTATGTATTATTTAATTATATTTACCTCACATAGTAGCTGGTGTACGTTAATTTGGATATAATAATAATAATAATAATGTATAATTACTTAAAATGGGCACGACCGGTGGCGTTTGCAAGAATTTTGTATTGGGGGGGGGGGGAGATGTCATAAACCAGTACAACGAAAATGTACACAACAAAAACAAGTAACAACTACATAAATTTTCTGATTACCCCCAACTTCATATGAATGGGCTATAACCACGGTTAGAGTGTAATTGTGGTTAATGTGATTGGTATCACTTATCAGTATATTATCACCACAGCATTTATTATCGATGATAAATTTTGTTTTCAACGGGTACGTACAGATGTCAAATGACATATTATGTCGATAAACTTCAATGTTGATTTCAAGTTGATAAACTGCTATGTTTAAAGTATAAAGAAATAAAGACCAATAGGAGGAGGGATTATATCCCCATCATCCCTCCCCTATGCACGCCACTGGACACGACACTTTCAAACCGCTCTACTTTGATTATAATATTAATGTATTAAAAAAATCCAATTTAATATCGGTTATTAATTAATTTAGTAAAATAATTATATGATATTAAAGTATAATATAATATCAATAAAAAGGAATGCAAATAGTAAAGAGCGTCTAGAATTTTCAATTGGTCGTCTGATAAAAAAATTAACAACTATTTATAAAGAACTCCTTAAGTGTTTAAATTATAGCAGCTATTAGCGTTAAATTAAAATTCGGCAAACAACTGTCTATACCAATCCCCTCAATAAATCCCCTCAATAGAAGGTGTGCCGTCCTTTATTGATATCAATATTAGTAGTCTATATATATATATATATATATATAAATTCACCAATGTACATTATTTTTATTATAAATATATCAATTTAATTTTTTTTTATCATGATTTTTTTTTGACTATGAAAATTATAATATAATAATTAGATAATTTTTAATGTGACAGTTTACATATTTCAACTGACGAGTTAAGCTAATTTGTACAGTTCTTCCGGTTTATTTGTAAATATTTACAAATTACGGATAACATGAAATACCAATATTTTTAGTTGTTTTAATTTTTAAACCAAGTAATTTTTAGACCATTTCCTTAGACCCTTGGCACTTGCAGTTGTCGCGGCAATTGGTTTTAATTTTCAGAACATATTCTTAATGATTAATCTAAATATTCTGTCGCCCCGCCTATACCTTAACAAGTGGTTCGGACCGTTTAAACATCTGAATTAGTTATAATTATTGGAATTAAAAATTGTAGGTAAACATTTGTCGAACCAGTTCACTGTAAATCAGTTTTACCTAATTCGTATTAAGACCAAATCAGAGAGTTATAACAACGTGTAATCGATAATACTGTTATAACCTAATTAGGCTAAATATATTGCAAGATATCTGAATTTAACATGCAATTTAATATACATAGTACTATATGAATTTGTATTAATAACGTGTAAACTAATTAAATAAAGCAAAAATGAATAAATATAATTAAGATATTCTACACTTAACATTTATATGCAGCCGTTAATTCTCATTGACTCAATGCGAAATAATTTAATCCGAAATTATGAAGCGTTTAAGTCTGTTTTTAATGAGCGAATTAATTTGCAATTGTATGTAAACGTGTTATAGCGAATTTAGTTTAATTGGTAAAAACAAACATGTAAACTTAGGGTTATCCCTTAATTTAGCATTATATCTTTAAAGATACATCGATTTTATATATAACTTATGATATGGCTCATGATGCCGAATAAGATAAATAAATAAAAAACTTCTTTTTTTTTTTTTTTAGTTAATGTATTAACAAGGAAGTAAGCGCTTATAAACGATACATTTTATTAAAAATGGTTCTTCAATAAAGAGATAATAGAAATAAATTATTACCAAGTTTACATTCACGGCAAATTTAATTTAGGTAATGTGCATTTAACTAACCTATTTTCACATTGCAGTTTATATGCAAGTATTAACAACACATAAATTAATTAAATACAATTTAAATTAATATTAATATTAAAATTCAAATATCAATAAACAATTCCAATTAGGGAAAGCTGAATATATTTTACTTTAAAATTTACATTTTCACTAGGTAAAAATTAATCCAATTAAATGGATTGCAATTATTTGATATTTTTGATCAAGAAACAGTGGCGTAATTACTGTGCGAGTAGCAGGGTCAGTTGCCACTTGCGTTTATTTTAGGTGGCATCTGTACGGTATACCATAGGTATATTACAGTGAGAGTAAAAGCCCTTCGGCTGGCGGCACCGACTCTGTAGTTATGCCACTGGCCACTGTAGGTATAGATGATAATGAATATTATGTTACTGCATAGTTTTACCTTTACGTTTTTCATGAACGACGCTGGTAACCCATACGTTTCGAAACGGTTTTCTTGGATCATATCGAGCTGCCGGCGGTCGTGATCCAATAAAATATATTATATAATATATACTATTGGTGGGTATATTTACAGTGGCGGCTGCTGCTTAATCCCGGCGAAATCAGCGTGAGCCGGCCAAGTAAAGGCCGTTCAATACGATCGTAACCGAATCATGTCGCGATATGAAAACCGAACACGGAATAAAATAAAAACAGATTTGAATAATACGCGGGCACACTTACTGCTTGTACGACGTTACGGTATGATTTTTTATCAATTAAAACTATTATTATTAATATTCAGTACCTATAAAAAAAAAATATACATATATATATATATATATATTTTATGAACGGCAACCAACAGTGTCGGCGGCGCACCGTTTACAGATGAGCCGTTCGGCGCGCGCGGAGGGATCCAAACTGACACCGAACAGATGACCACTAGTGGGCCTCGGATGCGATGTGTGGTACGCGGCTATGGATTCTGCGACGGAGGGGCCCGCGTGCCCATTGGTCGTTTGGGCGTGGCCTTGTCGCAACGGTACAACGGATCCGCCCACCCCGTGAAGAACGACCGCTGTGTGTTTAGCGACACACGGGACGTACACGTGTATAATATAATGCAATATGTATAATAATATTACGCATATAATATCTATATGTATTATTAAAATATACACTGCTAACATCCACAGTGTATAGAACCTATACAAAAAAAAATTGTAATAATAATAATAAAAAAACTTCGTCTGTCGTACTAGGTTAGTTATAGTACTATAATATTGTGTTAATATACTGTATACATAGACACACACCACCTTTTATTTCTCCATCCGTCCGTCAAATTTTCCCTTATATTTCCACATCCGACCGTGAATTTAATTAATAACATCGTATACTATACTTATTTCTATTTTGACGCGTTGTAGGTTCTACGCACGCACCAATTTCTTCGAGGGGAACGCAACCCACATTTCAGTAGACTAAAGTGACCAAACAATGCCATTTGGGTCTTGGAAAAAATTTACGAATAAAACGTATATTACGTTACACAGCATTTTCTATTTTTTAAAAATTGTTTTATTATACTTGTGATAACCGTAAGTGCAATACGATTATTATGTTTATTCACAGTTATCGCAGTTTAATGGAAAACCCTACAACACATTAATCGAAATGCGTTATAGTGTTTTTTTCTAGTTTATAGTACCATGAAATCTACCCATTCCCGTATAGAGGTACGTATAAGTGTACTGTATAGCGCACTGTGAATACATCCCACATCTTTCGTATGTACAATTTCATGCATGGATATTATATAAAATCACTAAAAGGAAACAAAAAATAGTTGAACAACATTTCAACTGTCCGAGATCACGGAAAGTTATATATTATTGAATTGGATTTACTGTAAATTATAATAATTATGGCTATTGGCTAATATAGAGACAATACATTTATTATATTACCTATATTTGTATTAATAATGCAACCTAATACAAGGGAACTAGTAAAAACTTATCATAAACGGATTTTTAGTTCTTTTTAATTCTCCGTTAAAATTTTAATTAAATACACGACCGATTTACTTAGTCAAATTTTAAACATTCGCACTTCTGTACTAAAATTGCATATTTTAAACGCCGGGTGTTCACTGTTCACGTATAATAATTATAATATTATATTCTATCAGTTAATATGGACAGGGGCATATTCTCGATTTGCCATTCAATATATTGAATGGTTACTAAAAAGGCATGGTTAAAAGAGCCCCTAGGGTATGTAGGGGTGAAAGAAACATCACCTCGACTAGGATCGTAAAATCATGTATTAATACATATGTTGTCACGTTGACGCACATACGTGACTTTATGGGTTAGGGGTAAAAAAAATACAGGGCCATCGACCAACTTCAATAAGTATTTTCCATTATTTTTACACGTGAGCAATGTGCATTAAACCGTTGAGTATGCAGCTATTTATAATTTAAAATGGACATTAAAACGATATTAGGCCTTTGTTAGTTATACGACCGGCCGCGGAATAGCTTAAATATTTTAATATTAAACAATTATAGGCCGATCATTGGACAATTTAGATTTTAGTACCATATGAAACCTTTTTGGGCACATTTATATTTATTTTTAGATTAATCTTTATTTTATAGAGAAATGTACATTCAATTGGGGCCTAAGAGCATTAACGGTCTATGAATGGCTCATTCCGGTTTCATACATTTATAGTGTACAATATATAGATAGGTTACAATAAAGTCTTTTTATTACATTTTTAAATAATGAAAAAATTATTTTACAATTATGACATTTATTGAAATATAGCGTTACCATCGACAATACAGAATACTTGGTTTGCGGCAGAGATGGAAAAGGAAATGGTCAAGGTTATTATATGCATGAATAGCTATTGTACTATTACGTATATACCATTTGGTAAATGTGTATTGTTTAAACAAACATCGATACATTTAACATGTGTCATATGTATACACGACACATTGGTTAAGGCCAATTTATTGTCTATATATATATATAAAGGTATATTCAACGGTTATAGTAGTGGAATAACCCTTATACACCAACCTTATGTTGTTTGTGTTTGGGAAAAAAAGCAAACGAAAATTGTTCTTATAAAAAAGGGGTCACTCGATTTCACCCAAAAATGATCATTCTCACCGCTATTTTTTACTCGAATACCCAAAATCACAATGTTTGCGTGACACATGAATTGGTATGGATATTTTTCAGGGATTTCCGTGGGGTTAATTATTTTTTATTTTAGTGATATTATCGGTATAATTTCAATTTCAATTTTTTTAGTAAAAACTGGTAATGGGAAATTTTCCATAGAAAAAAAAAAATTATCGCGTGTAGATCCCCCATGTGGTACCACCGGTAGAGTGCGACCATTGTTTCTGGTACACACTGTATTTTAATTGTATACACTCTGAAAAACTTTCAGAATGTATCGAACTTAATAGTTTTGTTGTGAAAATTACTTAGATACTCGGTTGTAGTATCGGAACTGACGCTTCGGGTCATACCGACCCGATATGGAGGCGGTGGTGCATGGCAGTGGCAGCGGTGGTGGTGATGGTCGTGTAGGCGGTGTGCACGGTACACAAAAGGCTTCGTCAGCATTTAGTTCACGCCTTTTCCAGTCGACCGAACAGCTCGACGGATTTCCCAGAGCGGGTTGATTCAATTTGCCGTACGATTTGCTCGGAATACGGGATTGCCAGGGCGCACAAACTCGCCTACTCCTTTCCCTTCCTCTCCCCACCGACGAGGTTGTGTATTCTTTATCTCTCCTTTGCCCGATTTATCCCCCCGGATGGGGTAGAAACTTTGCGTACTCGTGTATACACCTATATATATATATATATATATATGTATATATGGCGAAAACAACACTGACAAGAAAAGAAAAACGGTCGCCGAACAAAAAGGGTGACTTAAAAATTCACAAACAACCCCAAAGCACAAAGGGTATTAGTGTATAGGTATACCATATACGCGAACACACATACTTTCATCTCTAAACGAATACGCAAACAAAGAAAAACTAAAAACTTAACCGGTTTACTGGTATAGATTTCTGTGTATTGTAACATCCGTTTGTTTCCCTAAAAATTAACTCACTTCCGGTGTATTTTGTGTACACAAAGTGATTAAAAAAAACAACGGAAAACAAACACCACACTGTATATATGTATACAAATAATGTATTCTTCGATTCATATGAACATTTTCAGTTATGTTTCTTATCGTACACTTTCATTATTTAGAACACTTCTTCTCAACAAGCGTGGAGTATTACAAATAATTTAAGGGATTAGTGGGCAAAATTAAAAAAATAATCAAGAACTAAAAAATTCCTACAATTTATTAAACAATTATAACTCATTGTTAAAAAACAAATAACAACTAAAATGTTAAATATTTATTTTTTTATGTTTTATATAGTTTACTTATTGCAAGCATTTAATCTATACCTAGTAAGTAGTAGGCGCCTAACAAAATCGAATACATCCTATCTCTTTAGACGGGTACAAATAATCTCTATAGTTCAATGCGATAGCGTATTTTGGGAAATTTCTAAAAAGTCTAGGCGGCCGAGATTTGATCACAAGAAACCAGATAATTAATTTTCTTTGATTTAACTTTCTATTAACCTACCCAGTACCCAGTACCCAGTTTAAAATAAATTTCAAAAAAAATTTTCCAACTAAATGTTGGAGCATTACTTCTATTTTATTTATTCCGGTGGGTTAAACATGGAGGACCCCCTCCCATATAAAATACGCTATTCAATGTAATAAAGTGTAATACAAATGAACGTCAGATGATTACTTCTCCTTTGTTTTCACTAAAAAACACGTTATAAAAATATTTTGTTTTTGTTAAGCCTTTTGAAAAATGTTGTGCATTTATTCACAATGTAAGTAAAAAACAAATAAATATACGACTTTAAAAATTAAATAATTAAGTATTGAATTTCTATAAACATTTTGAAATAGTTTGTAATCACTAATCAGTATATTTCATATTATTAACCTTATTCTATTACATACTTAATATTTCATATACATATATTATGTGATATAGCACATTATTTTTTTCAATAGTTACACAAGGGTAGTTTTTCTACTATACATTTACACCGCTTTTGTATCAATAATATTCGCAATTAACCATTAATCAATTCATTTTTAACCTAACTCCCTCTCATACACTACAAACATTGACGTTCGTATTGGTTACTATATTATAGGTGTATATTGTATATACGACGATTTATAATCATATAATACTCGTGCACGCGCAGTTATTATGCGACGACCCAATAACATTACAATCAACTCCGTGTGATCTTCGCATAGTATGTGGAATTAACAGCGATAATAGGAGTTGTTAAAAAAAAATTGTTCTACCCCAAAGGTTTACGGATATTATTATGCGTCGTTGCCTCGGGGTCGGTTTGCGCTGTCGTCCGTCGGATTTGTAGCCCAGTCGCGACTTTGTGCAATATTATTATTATTGTTATATATGTTAAGCGTGTGCCTTTTTGTGTGCATACAGAAACGGAAAATGTAACTCGTGCACGCGCACATATGTACACAAGACACGTGTCCAACGTGTACGAGAGCGGTGGAGTTCCATTGGGTTTAGGTCAGGTGGAAAAAGTCTTCTCCGTGCGTTTTTTTCTGTTGCCTTTCGCCTAACCTATCCCTAAGCACCGCCGTCCGACGACGATGGGAAACGTTCACCGGACCGAAATGATCGCATTACGACT